ACTTCGAATTACATAGTAAATTTCAATGACTTAAAACAGAGTTTCCACGTGCTTCTCAGCTTTTTCAGCAGGAGATGTCAAATCCACAAAACGTAGTATTATACTACGAATAACATATTAAATGACCCTGACACGAAACAGGGTTTTCACATGCTTCTCAGCTTTTTCAAAATAAAGGACTAGGGGTATGCTTGATAGTTGGGTACATTGGACGAACTTGCACCAGGATTACCACCGCCACGCCCACCACCTGAAGGACACTTATGACGGTCATGTCCAGTTTGAGAGCATATGCCACATTTACGCGCATAAACGGACTCACCAACATCCATTTGGTTCCGTATACGCGTTCTCTTTTGCACTTTCAGCTTGCGCAAATAGTCCTTGTTACATACCAACTTAAAAGGTTCCGGCGGCCAATAATGCTCAGCACCTAATGGATGCAACTTCCCACTATACGTGTCTACGTATGCTGCAACACTGTATTGCCTATCAATGTAGTTTGTTGCCCCATATCCAACTTGTTGAAAGCACTTCAATGCATGTGGGCACGACATGTGGTAGATGGTCTATTTTCCACATGAACATAACCTTCTATTTTCATTTACCGTCTGTAGATTATTCCCACGGTGTCCGTTGATAGCGGTCTTAACTTCAAAAACACCCCGTTCATGATCATACTGAAGAAATGAATGCCACTGTGCCCGCCTCCTGTACCTTTCAAATCTTGTCATGGGTATTGGCATAAATTCAACACCCCTGTCCATCAATGACGATGCAGCTGCATGCCTTTCAACAAACCTCTCTGCACTCTGTTTGAAAGTCATGCGGACCATGGCAGTGACAGGCAGTCCACGGGCAGACTTCAACAAGCCGTTGAATGACTCCGACACGTTTGTAGTGATGGCTCCCCATCGTCTGCCGCCATCAGCATGCAATGTCCACATTTGAGGGTCATGTTGCATCAACCAAGTATAGGCTCGTGGTTCTATCTGCCGGATCGCTTCCATGCGCTTCGTGAATTTACACTGCTGGTGCTCAGTTGCAGCCATCCACATTAAGTCATGCAACGCCTTGTCAGGAAATTTCTTCTGGAAATTGGCCTTCAGATGCCTTACACAGTAACAGTGGTATGCATATGGTTTCTGCCATTCAGGCAAGTGACTTACAGAACTTAAAATACCACAATGCCGATCAGATATTAGACAAATACCTGAACGCTGTTTGACAACGTGCTGCTTCAAGTGGTTCAAGAACTGCGTCCACGTCTCTTCACTTTCGTTGGCACAAATGGCAAAAGCTAGTGAAAATATTTGTCCGTTGGCATCTACAGCAACTGCAATCAAAAGCTTAATATCATACTTTCCATAGACATGAGTACCGTCTATGGAAATTACAGGACGACAATGCACAAAACCATCAATTGCTGGTTTAAATGACCAAAATACATAGTTGAATATATATTCCGGTCTGTCCGGACTTCGCTCACGCCTCCATTCAACAACAGTCCCGGGGTTAAAGTGTTGCAGTGCAGCCATGTACCTGGGCAAATTTGAAAAAGACTTATCCCAGTCGCCATAAATAAGTTCAAAGGCACGTTTGCGACCGAGATATGCCTTTCTTTTGGTTATAGTACAACCATACTCCTGGTGGACGGCTGTAATACACTCTTTAATCTTGAACCTAATGGACACTTCCAAAAATGGAATCAAGATGAAGTGATTCTCATTGAATGTGTCCATTTCACATCTGTGCTCGCTAATAAATTTACCCACTTTCCACAAACCTGATTTCTTCTTTGTGGCACGCAGCATCCAGTGACAACCCATAAACCACCTACGGCATACAGCCTTGTATTTCTCCGTAGTTGACTCACTTACCGTCATCTCACGACACTCCCTTATACTGTAGATTTTTACAGCCCTAACTAGGCGAGCTTTATCGGGGAAATGCATGCCCTTTGTAAGAACAGCTGGTCTAGATTCATCCTACATCACTGACCGTAATTCATCATCATCCCTTGTTAGGGCATCAACGTTAGGCATGCTTGGCAAATTATCAAGGTAAGGAATATTTCGCTCATGAAATGGCACGTGGAACTCATACACTCTTGGTCTAGCGGGAGGTGGAGGAACATGCTCCCTAGTCAACTCAGGTTCAACATTCATTTCCTCCTCCTCATCATCACCCTCATCATGGAAGGGTGTCTCATCCCCAGACTCATCCGCATTGTTGTCATAATCACTATCATCCTCCTGACTCTGCGCATCTGCCAAATCACGAGTAAAAACGTCGTCTATGGGCAACTGTGTGAGGCCAGGAGCTTCAAGAAGCTCGTTTTCACTGCACAAAACGAACAAAAACCTAAGTTACCCAATACTCAGGAAAAATACTTTAGATATCGCTATATCACTTTACTTACAAATCGTATTGTCTTGACGTTTCATGATGGATATTTTCAGGTTGGTGATAACTCTCAGATGGACCATCGTGGTCCAATACTCCAGACCTACGCAGATTCCAACTAGGGGCGAGGTCATAACTTGTAAAATTCAAATCCGGACGGTACCCCCTATAAAAAATATGAGTGTTAGTACAAATCCAATTAAAACATGAAAAAAAAAATCGCTAAAACGTAGTAAAATTGAAGTTTACCAGTCGTCTTGTTGATTATATAAAGTGGAAACATTATTTTCTGGCTGCTCATTCGCCTGTGGTGACAAGTTTAAATCAAGGCAAGCTCTTTCATCTCCAATCTGTCCGGCAAACGCTGCTCCAGAATAACCACCCGATGACTGGGGGTTATCCCTGCTATGCACGCCCTCATTACTAGGAACGTCTTCCACCTTGACGTACATTTCCAATAATTTTATTACAATAAATTCCCTGTATTCATCCGGAATCCGCAAAAAATCTCTAAGAGTTTCATCATCCTCGATGTTAAACTCAGAATAATAAGCAAACCCCTGCGGAGTCACTGAATAAGGAAATCTACCGGTTACTTTAAGGCTAACCGAACGCCTCCGCTCACTCATTTTTTTACGTAGCAACGATACCAATGTATCGTACTCCATATTAAGCGGCAATTTAACATGACACTGTGGAGGTGAGTTATACCTCACAGAGTTATTCTCCACCACAATCTCCACCCCCCCCCCACCCCACCCCCACCCCCCCCAATACAGTGAAACCCTTATTTTTGGCACTTCAGACATTGTAAAAAATTGATTGATAAGGAGAAGAGAGAATAAACGTATGTTTGAAGTTTAAGTGTTGAATGAATTTTTATAAAATTGAAGCGCCTATAAATAAGGCAAGTCCGACCTTGGGGTGTACAATTTTTCAAAGTAATTCGCAGTATTATACTGCGTTTTATGTATTTGAATTATTGTTATGTCAGTTAATTATTGGTGGGGCCTAAAATCAGCCTATTTCGCAGTACTGTACTACGAAATGTCATAAAAAATTATTTTTTTAGTATTTCGCAGTTTTATACTGCGAAATGCCTTAACGGCAAAAAATCCGTTAAGCCAATTCGCAGTATAAAACTGCGAAATACCCATTATTGTATCTTTTTTTTTAACATCAAAAATGTATTTTATGTTCAAAAAATTATTAATTAAGTTTTGGATTCTGGGGCTTACGCCTCGCTGAGGCATATGTAAAACGCATCGCCTTATGCCCTCACCTTTTAAAACACTGTCGTGAAGTATAATAGAGGATAAATTAAGATATTTCATATAGTATAATAGATATATATTTTTTACCCCTTCCTCATGAATATATTAAGTTGCAAAAGATTGGAAAGGTAAAAGAATAAATCTGTTTATAACTGCAAAAACAAAACTAGCTATTTTGGTATCCCTTTCCTTTTTCTTTATCTCCTGGTTTCTATGTTTACTTCATCAACTTCTAATGAACACTATGAACTCACAAAATGTGTGCTCTGATAAAAACTCAAACCTTATGTATTTAAGTTGTTGAATGGGTAGTTAACTCACAGAAAATATGCTTACTAATTTGACTATAAAGAATCACATACCTATAAAAAGAAACAATTCTTATTTCTTGTTACCCCTCTCTAGTTTTTAAAGGATACAAAGAAAGATAAAGGTCAAATTTTCCCCTTTAAATTTCTCAAGATGGTGGAATTGTTTGCAGCATTACTATTGTTACTAAATTAAACTACACATCATGAGAGGCTAATTACAAAAACTATTCATTATCATTCAGTCAACTCGCCTTCTACGACCCAAAACTGACACTTGAAGATCGTGGCAAAAGAATGGATCAAAGATCAGATGTGTCTTTGATTTCACAACAAAATATATACTGGATTTTCGTATTGTATCGGTGATATAGCTGATGCAGATTATGATTCAAACACATTTATTCTTGAAAGCAGACCTATAATGGAAGTAGCGTCCAGTCCCATGCATGTTTATAGTTATAGGCAAATAATTTGAATAGTTTGTGACCGTCTGTTTGATAAATCATTCATTATATTGTGCTCAAGGAAAATTTAACACTAGCTTGGATTTTTCTAATTTTCTAGTATTTGCAATCTTAAAAATTTCAGCGAGTCAGATTAGTGTGTGTTGGACCAACGTTTTACAACTGCAACCAAAGTTCAAATTCTTTTTAAGATAATTAGGACCGGCTTCAATTTATAAAGAGGGAGTATTTATTTGGAAAAAAAAATTGAGTTTTGTGAGTAGAAAAAAAAATCCGTTTTTGGGACTTAAAAAAATAATTTCAAATATTTTCAAAATCTGATCATATTCATAAACAAACAATGTTTTCAAAAAAAAAATGAAAACAAAATCTATGGCTAAACGTGAGCTTAAATGCGCGAAAGCTCAAGTTTTTGTTATCTCCTGTTAATTGTATATATGAGAAACTTGAAAATGAAACAAAAGGGAAGATTTAAAAGATGTACTCTGAACAATAGGTCAGGCAAAAGGGAAGGAAAAAAAAAAAGAATTGTTCACAACACCTGATTTATCATTTCCATAACAAATCACATTTCAGATTCTGAAATTTCTATTTGATTCAAAAATTAACCAAAATTGAAATGTAACAGTTTCTTTAAATAAGGGCCATATTTGCAATTTCTACAAAGGTCAACAATACAGTGTTGTAGTTAAATAAGTCCCCAAAAATTTCTTAATCCCAATACTAAGATCAATATAACAAAAATAGCCCAAAACTGAGAAAAAAGAAAAACTAAACATGAAATCACCTACCCCCAAAAGGAAGCACGACGACTCGGGGCAACTTGGTTCAACATTCCTCGGCTCTCTATATAGTCACCCTAACCGCGTCTGCCAGTAAAACCCGTGCACTCAAAAAGATGCCTGGTTTCTGGGGGCAGCACTCGAACTCAACCTTTCTGTAAAGAGGGGGGCGCTTTACAACACTGGAAGATACACAAGAAATGGATGATGAAGGGGGGTCGGATTGAATCGACCAAAGAATCAGTGTGGATATTGTCAACCCACTTAAATCGACGTATAGTTGGGGTAAAGCTGCAACAAGTTATCTAGAGTTTCAGGTAAGAATTTTCTTGCAAACAAGTAACATGGTCGTTGGTTTCCGTTCCATAGGCATGGCCTAATCTGGACTTCCTTCTGCAAAATGGAAAATAACACAGGATTCTTTCAGATAATGTAGCTTTCTAGTGACACAATGCAAGAGAAGTGACAGATCAATTATTCATACCCTTGCGTCGCTTGTGACATGCACATTCTCTGAAATAGACTACAGAAACAGTGACAAGAAACGTTAAATCATGTCATGATTGGAAAGAAGACTAGAAGTGATAAAAGAATCAGTGGCATAAATGTATACATGTCGAGGGAAGTTGGCCTTACTGTTATGTTTCTCATAAGATCAGAAGTAATATCTTTGCGCACGTATGATTTTGGGTGCCACTTCCCTTCAGACCAATCAACATGTGTTACTGACCAATTCGCAATTCCAGTTGGGTCAAGCATCTGAAAATTTATAAGAAGAAGAAAACCAGTTAGTTTGGAAATGATCAAAACAGGAAGATTAGAAGACGCGCTGGTGAATAAAACTATACTCACATGGAAAAAAGTTGGTATATAGTGCTCATCAGAATAGCAATTCCGATTACCCTCCATGTTTGGCTGTTGCATTATTAGAGACAAAAGTTCAAGTGATTAATGAAAATTAACCAAATTCACATCTAGACAAACAAACAAAAAAAGCCAGAAGAATAAAGAAAGCAGGGAGTGGGACATAAAGGTTAACATAGACAAATTTTTTAAGAAGTATATGGATGCAAGCATGTTTTATTGTGCCTGTAGAGATCCCGTGGATCAAATGTTGTTGTAGTTTTCAAACAGCAATACAAAGAGTTTAAAAAAGAAGGGCTTAAGTGGAAATAACAATATGACCAATGAAATAATGCCAGAGAACAATAGTTTTATGCTTCAATTCAAAGGCAAGCAGATGCTTTAAATCCAAGGAAAGAGAACGGTAGTTGGGACTATTGGCGAAAGATGAATATAATATAAACCAATAAGCAGACTAATCCCACCTTTGTTATCAACTACACCTCAGTCCCAATTATAGTTGGGGCTGGTTATATGAATACTCTCTCTGGCATCTGTTACGTTCTATTCATGTCAAGTCTCACATCCAATAAACTTTCAGAAATTTCAATGCTAATTTCTCCAAAACAATCAACAGCGTGGGAAGAAACGATGCATAGAGCATTCAACATCGTATACATCAATGAATAAATACAGTCAAAAAAATAGCTAGTAGCGTAATCATATAATCAGCCAAAGTATGATAAAGAAAAAACACACCTTGCAGTAGTCCTTGAATTTTCTATAGTAGAGACTGTCAGCCATAACTGCAAGGGCATGCTGCCGCTTCATTGTGAACCACTGTAAACATTCAGAATGTAACCTATCAGAACAAGAAAATTGTATTCAAATTGGCATATCAGCGCTATTAAGCTACTTCTATATTTGGCCATTTAAGATGGCGAAAAGGAATTCTACCTAGGGAATACTGCAATTAACCAACTCATTGAACACTTACAGATTACAAAACCAAAATATCCAGCAGTTTTTGAACAAATTATAAATGAACAGGAAAGCTTTTTAATTCGTGAAACAGTACGACCAACGTATTATATAAGATTAACCAAGGCTGATTATTTACTTGACGAGCACCAAGCATAGTTTCCAACATGCACAATAAGATTGGTAAAATAGGAAAGTGAGCGCTGATTTGCATATTCTTCTCCCCCCTCATTCCTCAACAAAAATAAGAGAGAGAGAGAGAGAGAGAGAGAGAGAGAGAGAGAGAGAGAATCAAATAAAGAAGAATTTACAGCAAAAAGTTGTGTAAAAGGCACCTGTGCACCCTTTCGAAAATCCTTCTTTTCAACTTCAGGTAACATACGTTCATAATATCTGCCACTTCCATGAGGTCCAGGATCCTCAAAGCTGAAAGAAGAAAGAAACTTAGCACTTTTTTATTTTTGATGAAGAAAGAGCAGTTCTTTAAAAGAATATTATAAAGATGATTAGAAATATAAACTATAACGGAATCAGAGGAATTGACTTACCAGTCTACAAAACTGATATTTGTATACATCAGGTAGTTGTAAACATAGTCAAAATCACGCAGCGGTATACAACTGCAAGTTGATAAGCTGCATGATCAGAAATGACGCAACGGCATGATTGCAAAAATAAAATAAAAAGCAAGAGAAATCATCAAATGTAACCTGTCAGAAAGTAATACAAAGTGCTGATTGTCAGTATCTTTAAGCGCGTATGCTAAAAGGCGTCTCTCTGCATCAACCATAGAAATCTTTCCCCACACTACCTGCAGTGCAGAACAGTTTACTCCATAACTCAGTCATATAGATGAAAATAATAAATACCTCTGACTTCAAATGACTAAGATAGTTGCAAATATCTTTCTATTCCTATAAGCTATGTTACATGGGCCCTTCATTTGCCTTGACGCAGCCGTGCCGGATGAGTATGACAAGGGTGCAGTACTTCGTACGACAAGGATGCAGAAAATACAGTAATCATAAGCAATACTAATTTGCATTTCCCAATAAACATGGCTGATTTGAGCTACTCACCTAATTCTCAAGGTTTATTCACAACCAAAACCCGTGCCACTAAAAAAGTTAATAGCCAGAGTCATATTTACAATGTGTGCCACTTGCAAAGAAACGAGGAAGTGGATGCTGTAGGCTACACAAAGTTCTAGATCCATTTGAATTCATAAAGGAGATAAGCGTAATCCATTCCAAGAAATTAAAAGAAGCAAACAAAGTAGACGGAGCTGATGAGTAAACAACGTCGCACGATGGTGTATATCAACTAGATGCTGCTGCCAATTCTCAATCATTCTTCTCAGACTCTGTGTTAAACTATTAATTATTTATCACGCAAACAACAGCCTGATCACACAAAAAGCCAGCAGCACAACCTACAGAACTCTTTTCTTATTCAGCTTTTTTTTCGATTATTTGGAATTTGAGTGTAGGAGTCATCTCAAACAAATAGCCATGGAAGAAGCATGATAGAAGATGTCAAATACAACAAAGGAAAAAAAGACAATGACTTTAATTGCTTCACAGGAACAAAGTGCATTCAGAAAAATACATGAAAAAGCTTACAAGCGACGAAGTTGATGAGATACAGTATCTCATTAGTGATAATGGTTTGCGTATCAGAAAAAAAAAAATGGACAAAGTTCAAGCAACAAATTTTAAATACTGCATCTCATTATTGGCAAAGGGCAGCCCGGTGCACTAAGCTCCAGCTATGCGCGGGGTCCGGGGAAGGGCCGGACCACAAGGGTCTATTGCATGCAGCCTTACCCTGCATTTCTGCAAGAGGCTGTTTCCACAGCTCAAACCAGTACATCTCATTATTGGCAATGGAAGAAAAAAAAAAGAGTACTAATTTAACGCAGAATGACAAACCTTGTCACTACGAATTTCCCGATTGACAAAGTAACGGCTAAAATGTACTGGTTTGTCCTTAGATGCATGTACATAGACAGAAAATTTGCCTTCATGACCCTGAAAGAGAAATAGATTTATAAAACCATCAGTAGAGAAAGCTGAAATGCTAAATGTAGTTAAGGATCTATTAGATACCCAGAAAGCATTAAATTCACACAAACCAGTATCGATTGTTAATCTGATAACATTAACCTATATTATGTAGTACCCAGATAATGTGTCCATATTATGTTGAGCATTCCCTTGCATAATTTGTGGAAAGATGCTTTCAAGAATAATTTACTTAAACTTATAAGAGGGATGCCAAAGTTAGTGATTCTGGGCATGTGAATAAATTGTTGCAACAGACCAACATGAAGAAGAAGAAAGAAAGAGAAAAAAAAGACAGCTTGGAACATCTAGAATATGAAAAATAAACCTGAAAAAATCTGTCCCAGAGCTTTTCAAATGGCAATGCGCCAGGTGTCAGGAACATAAATGCAATTTTGGGGCTTTCTGGCATGACTGGGGGTGTGTTCAGAATTTCATTAGTTACAACATGGGAAGCGAGCTCTTCATCTGTCAATTCTCTGGCGGGCGCAGGCGGAAGCCAATCGGAAAACCCCTTGCAACCATTCAGTGAGAATACATAACAAGCACCAGAACCTTGAGGGGGATAAACGTAAGCACAAATTAGGAACAAGCTAACTAAAGAAACCAACACGATTATCCATGTTGGTTTCTTTAACTGAGCACGATGGCGAGGTGCAGACAATATTTGCATGTCCTTCATGCCTAAATGCCACCCCTGAGATGTCTTCATCTAGGAACTATATACATCAGCAATCGAAAAGCATGAAAAACTAGACCCGTTAACCAATCTCTGAGACCAATAACCAAAGGTAGCTCACTGTCTTATCTTTGAACAACCCAACAACAGAAGCAATATTTCTGAATCGATGAGAACAAACTCAAAGCTGCAAGAGGATGAAAAATCAACAAATAAGGAGTAGTTAGAGTTAAATTAAGATCTTTAACTTCAGATGTTCTTGTAAAGAAAAATCCTTAATTCCTTTCTTTATCTATATGCTGATTCGGAATTTTAACTCCTAATTTTCAGTTACATGATATTGGATCAAGCCTCCCGTGCTAGGATGACACGAGGAAAGATTCACACTTCTCATTGTAGAGTCATAGTCCAGTTAACATATCCAAAAAGAGATAACGGTCTAAATACACATACATCTTCTATCAAAAATGAATCAGATATTCATAAGCTGCACCAAACTTGGAAATCAGCCTTCCACATCAAACAGAGAGAAGAATTACAAAATCCAACAAAATGACTTCTATTCAACTGGCTCTACAAAGAGATCAAGTTAATGCAGAATTTTTTATTCGACCTCAGCATTAGCAGAATACAGTAAAAAAGATCCAAACTTTACAGAATTCCCAGGAAGTAGAAAAGCAAAGACACGTGAAAATTTGAGTAAATATTGGTCTAATGAGATCATATAAGATAACATAGCAAATAACAACCTTCACAACAATTACAAAGATTCCTAGGTTACCCCAAACATCCTTAAATTGAAGTCACACCCGTTTATCAGACCTCAAATCTATCCATTCTCCCCCCCCATACCCAATACACACACACAAATCAACTTCAAATTCCTATCATCGCCATAAACACATACATCATACATAAACAAACAAATACATATATCCCCATAAATGCAACAACCCCATCAAAGAATTAATCACAAATCTTTTCAAGAATCTATAATTTCAATCAAAGTTCAAATTTTTACTCATAAGGGTACGTCTAGAATTACAAACAAACACAAACCCACATCATAGAATCAAAGAACAAATTCAAATCAAGAACGCAATATTACCTGAATAATGATGCAGAGAATAGAGAGGTTCTTTTTTTTTTTTTTGGTTTTCCACTTGCTATTGTGAGTGCAAGAACTCCAAATCTTTCAAGCCAAAAAGGATCTGTATTTCTGTGTGCATGTATGTATTATTAATACGAATAATTAGTAATATATTTGGCGTGTGAGATCTAGGGCTAGCACAACAAAGCAAGTGGAACCAAACAGAAAAACAGCGGAGAGAGAGAGAGAGTAGGGGGGCTGCTCCAGTGTATCCAATACAATAATTATAAATTAAAATTATGTTTTATATATATAGAAAAAATTACATTATATGTGTTGTTTTTTTATTTGCTTGTGGGGGTAATGGTTTCTATAATTATCTTAATCTTTTTTGGTGCGACTTTCCTTTGTGTATGGAGTTTGACCGTTAGTTTCATACCAAGGTCCAATACTAAGAACTATTCAAGCCGGCAATTCTTGGGAATTTGTTTTTTTTAATGAATTTTGAGGAAATCGTCATCTATAAAATAGCATATTCCTACCTTAGTTTATTTTTGGGTCACTAATCTTAGTGAAATAACTTCACTTATCTAGTAAAAAAATAATTTATCTAGTGAATTATCTGAATATGAATACAGATGATTCATCTAGTTAGTCTTAATTATTTGGGACTGATATGTAATTAATTAATTAAATACTTATTAGTTAATAAAATAAGTATTTTAATTGTAGACGCAAATTATTACTTTTGTAACATATAAAGATTTCATAAATTGAGTCTCTGTAGGATTGGGGTAGTAAAGTTTTTCTTACTTCATTCCGGGGGTGAGGCGGGGTTGGATTACGATTGGTCTTAGATGGCTTACAGTTTATGTTGGACTCACACTATTCTTGTTGTTTGTCTTAGCCCCCGGCCTTAGATTATGGTTACTGTTATTGCATGTCATTCATCTTTCAGTTTTTATGTTTCTGTTACTATTACGATTTCTACTGGAATTACTAATGAATTCAAAGTTGTGAGCAATTAACAAATATAATAGTCTAACAGTCAGCTTTTTTAAGTTTTTATTTTTCCTTTCTTCTTTCTTGTAAAATTTTGAGAATTAAAAAATTATTGATTTCATTGAAATTGGATGAAAAATGAATATAGAAGAAAAAAAGATTGAAATATAAAAAAACAAAAGAATATAAAAAATAAAAGGAACTAACACAATACATGTTTAGGGTGTTATTGTATATGTTAAAAAAATAATGAGGAATATTCATTGAACAGATACTAGCATTTTTGCTGAAGTGAATTGTTTATCCTTTTTTATCTCAATTTTGGAGAGAGAAAAATATGCTATGGCACCGTTAATGTCATGTTAAATCATTAGTCTTCTGTCATTATTGAGTTGCTTACATCATATAACTAAAACTCTACCAATGGCAATTATTCATCATTTTTTATATTATATCCAGTTAAAGCAAATTGTGAAAATGGTAAATTTGAATTGTATTTAAATGTAGATAAGAATGATTACACAACTAATGTATTAGCATTTAGCAAAACAGTAAATTAAATAGTAATTCATCAAAATACAAATATATTAAATAAGAGCGCCACAAATGTGGGGGAAAATTAAAGGCCAGATAATGTTGCCAAATCTGTTAAAATTATTTTAAATAATGAGGTACCAAAAATAATCTTTGGAAAGTCATGATGACAGCAAAGAACATTGAATTTAAAAAAAAAATTGACAGTTTTTCCCTAAATAGTTGTGCTTGATCATCATCTATTATATGCCCAATATTTATAAATTGGCAAATTACCAAAATAAGTTAGATAGATATTAACTATTTTCTGGAGATCATAATTCAAGAGAAAATGAAAGTTCACCAAAATTCGGAATCGCGTCATGCAACAATTGGATTTACGTTAAACCAGTAACTTTGTGATAATTTTATTGTAAAAATTCATAAATTTTAAATGTTGGATCTGCTTCTGTGGCTAAATCATTAACTTGTGATACTAGCAGCCTGTTTGGCCATACTTTTAGGAAGCCAAAAGTATTTTTTGGGTAAAAAAAATATGTTTTTTAAAGAAAATACTGAAGGTGTTTGGTCAAGACAGATAAATGTTTACGAGCACCAGCAGAAGTAACTTTTTTGCTTTTGGGAAGAAGCTACAAATTTTAATAAATTTCAAAAAGTAGAAGCAGATTAATTTTTTCAAGACAAAAATATCCTTATCAAAAAAATTATATTTTTAAAATTATATCTTATTAATTTAATTTTTTTATGAGATGAATTTTTAATTTATATTGACTGATGCACATTGGTATACTTGAATCGTCAGGTAAATAATAAGCAATGACATATACCCAATAATATTTCTTTGATTAATTATATTTTATATTGATTAAAAATTTTAATATATATTTTACTCTATATTTTATGAATTTAATTCTCTATAACAATAATACTAATTATAAATTGAACATTTACTATCCTTTTACGTATTTGATATTCAAGAATACTTTTTAAAAATATTAGCCAAACACAATTTGCTTATCAAATAATGTAAAAAGTATTTTTTCGAAAAACACTTTTAAACAAAATCATTTCTCAAAATAAGCAATTTTTTAGCGGCCTCACATAACGGGCTCTAAAACTAACATGCCTTCGCTCGTTACAAACTTTTTCTGAAAAATTGTTTTCGTGTTTATGATTTTTTCTTTCCTTGACAAGTTTCGGAAACATCAACAAAGATTTTTTTGATTTAAAAAAAAAAAAGATTTAACCAATAAAAACGTTTCATTTGACGAAAATTAATCTATAAGTTGCCAAAAAATTCGTAAAAAGGCAAAGGAAAAAAGAAATATATTGGAACCATCAATCGCGAGCGAATAGCGCGTGGACGAGCGAATAGCGCGTGGACTGAGGTCCACGAGAGGTCAAGTTGTCACGTTTTGTTTTGTCCAATCTCGTTACCCACAATTTTTTCCGACAAGTAAGAGGTGTACAGGCACGTTTGTTTCATATCTTATGGATGTAGAGTGGAAATACAGTAATGATATTATATTAAATTCACACATCTTATACTTATTATTTCCGTCTCATTATATATTGGTATATTTTTTAGGTAAAATTTCACGTAATAACAACTGGGATCTTTACTTTTTAATTTTATAGCTCATATATCAATTTACAACCAACTAGCCCAAAAATAATAGGCTAAGATTCAACATCCAACTCCAATAGATTTTCAAAATTACTATTTAATTTTTAAAAAAGAATGCTCAAGCTTTTAAGTTAATTTTCGAATCAGTAACTGTAACTTAAATATTAGTTCAACAAACCAAATTCATTTGGATGGTGAAAATTAGATTTTTAACAAGCTTAAATATGTGGGTTTAGATTCCGAATTTGATTTTGTGAGAAATTTGGAGTGGGTATTGTCTAGAATTGTTAGAAATAATATAAGGAGGTTGTATATAAAATTTGAAGTCATTTAATGGAGATTTGGACTGATTTTGAACAACAATTGTAACTGAAAATCATGGAAAAAGATCGTCTAGAGACGCTTGTATAAAGGTGTATAAAAATGTATAATAGTGTATAAGATGTGTTTATACACTCATATACACTATTATACAAGATTATACATAATTATACAAAAAACTAACTTCGTCTTCTTCTTTGCGGTTTTTCTGAAATTTAACTCAAATCAACTCCAAATCACTTCAAATTTAAATTTTGAACTCCTTTTGATATTTTCAATCAATGGGAACAACATCCAATCCAAACAACTAACAAACTCAAAAAATCTTATTTTTGAAAGCAAAGCTTTGAATGGCCTTCAATTTTGGAATGTTGAATCTTCAATTTTTTTACATTGCAACCAGGTGACACAGGGAAGAAGCAGTAATGGCAGACGGCCCATTGAAGCATACGTAGAAGATGTGAGAAGAAAAGAGAGTGAAAGCAATAGTTGTGAGAATATAAATTTAACTTCATAACTTTTAGAAGTAATGGTTGTAAGAAACATATTTTGAATTTGCTAGTTCTTTCAAAATATGTACAATATGGGCTAGCCGGGTAAAACTTAAAAATATGGGTCATTTTTTGTTATGGTGTGGAGTCAAGTGTATTTTCTTGTAATTTTGTTTATTTTTTATTATTAGTATCTTTAAACGTACGTTGCACGTCAATAATGACATATGATGGTTTAAATATTTATTTATACGAAGGAGCAATAAAATTTAATTAATGAGAGAAATTTTATACTCCCTCCGTTCACTTACTTGGCATGTACACTATAAATAAATTTTTATTTTTACTTGTCACTTTACGCATATCAAGAGAAGACAAACTTTTTTTTCCTGTTATACCCACAATATTTATTACTCATTTCAAATTATTTTCTCAAATCCAATAAAGTATGCATCAATTAATATGGGTATCATGATAAATTATGCACTTCATTTATTATTTCTTAAGGAGCGTGAAAAGTCAAAACGTGCCAAGTAAAAGTGAATGGAGGGAGTATATATTAATACAACAATCATGTAAATGACGAAAAATATTGTTACATTAGCATAAACTTGAACTCAAAATAAAAGGATATCATCAGAACTTACACAACTGATCAATTTATATATTATTTCCTTCTAATGCTTTGGTTGCTCCGCCATAACCAAAACTCTTGTTGTCGATATTGATATCTCTCTTGAAAATGCAACATATAGTTATCCGTGTAAGAAAATATATTGTTATAAATATAGTCTAAGATTTAGTATGTTTGTTCTTGTGTTGTATTTATTATTACTACGAAGCATGAACACACTGAAAATTATTTTCACACAAATTTAAAAGGATATTCTTTAGTTTTTGAAGACAAAAGTGAATTCGGAGATAAACACATACTTAGAAGCACATTGACCAGTATCATAAGTTCTGCATGTATGACGTTATTGTCAAAACTTCTATATATCATATGTGTACTAATACATAAGCTATTCGGCGGATCTAAGTTTTCAGTAGCATAACATGCATATTTTTCTTCAAAATCAACCATTATGCAATGGAATATCAATTTTAACTATCTACTATGTATACAGTGACAATAATATACGTAAGAAAACATTATAATGGCCCGGCCGGTCGTTTTGAGTATTACAGCCTCGTTTCCCCGTTTATTGCTTATTCTATGATCATTTGTTGTTATGTGACTTGCCGGAGGAGTCGGTTCGATTCCGGGGATGTTTCTGAATGAATTGGGACACTTAGTCCCAAGGTTAG